ACTCATGAGCCACTGTGTTGCGACGGGGGCTGTGAGTTGTGCACTCATGGTCGCAGTTAATTCGCAATTTCTAAACACTGTTTTAGGACGCAGTTATTGCTAAATTATTAATATTCAAATACACTAGGCAAAGATAATACTTTTAAACCACATGCAAAAAAACCTTTTTTGTTTGCATTTTTCTGCATGTAGTTTGGAGGTTTGTTGTGCCAAACTGCATGGGATTAGCATTATGAAGGCGAAAATGGAGGCCCAAAATCTTCAGCAATTGACCAGCTGCATGAAAAAACAACAAATTTTTGCCTTTTTGGAAATGCGACCTGTTACTTGATATAGCACCTTCTAGTCTTTTTCCGACCACTCAAAGTGTTTTACACTACATGCCACATTTACCCTTTGATACAGTAATGGCAAATGCTCATCACAAACAGAAATCAACCCATTTATTCACACACTGATGCACAGCATCAGGAGCAACTTGGGGTTCAGTATCTTGCTCAAGGACACATCAGCATGAAGCAGGAGGAGTCAGGGATTGAACTACCTACCTGCTGATGAGTGGACAACCCGCTCTGCCTTCTGACCCACAGCTGTAGGGTAGTGTCTCGCCTTAAGGCCCTGGCCAGATGCTGTGTTTGCATGGTCAGTAGCAGGGTCTAAGGTTGCCAGTGTCATCAACCAGTATGGAATTGTTACATTTGCAATGATTTTCCAGAGCCTGCTCTGTAACATGGAATCCTCACAAGATGATGGGCGTCCCTCTGCAGTGCTCTGCAATACTGGTCAAGAAGAAAGTAAGAAATTATCCTCTGTTCTTCAATTTAAATTTACAGTACAAATACTGTATAAGACTATCTTTGGAGGCTATTCACTGAATGTTTTTAGCCAGGCCAGAGTGAAAGCTGGCTTCAGGGATGGCAATGTCAGTCTGTCTCTCGGTTGCTCCAAAATTTCTAATTTCTGAACGATTATTATGGCCATGAAATCTGTAGTCAGTAATGTCCAGCTGTATCTTGTATGAATGTCCGCCTCTCTCTTTTGCAGGGTCTCTTAAAGGAGTGCAATGAGTTCTGTGCTGAGTACCTTTTCCAGATGGACAAACCCTACAATGTGAGCTATGATACTGGGGATAAAAGCCTCCAGTGTGGCCGACATGTGGATGCCTTTAAACTCTGGCTCATGTGGAAGGCAAAGGTATTCACAGCATTATCAGTGTAACGCCAGTGAGATACGGTTAATATTCTTTTCATTCTCTCCTCTCATTCTGATTGTTACATGCTCCCCCTCTGCTGGTCAGACACATGACATATTACTAATGTGTTTCTGCTCTTTTCTCAGATGGGGCGTAAAGAAGGAAAAAAGATGAAATTGATTTGAGTGATAGTTTTCTGTGTGATTCTCGTGATGATAACTCATTTTCTCTAGAGGCTATTGCTTGTAAAGATGAGTGGGTAGAAACTTTTCCTGAAGGATAAGCAGAGAGAGTGAACCGAAATCCCTGCCCCCTCTTTATTGGTTCCTTGATGAGGAGATCCCCTGAGAAAAGCTGGGTCACTTTAGCTCTTATCAAGGCTCTCTTACCTGCGGCGATCACACCGCTTGACTGGCGTTTTTTTGTGGCTAGTCTGGCTGGGAGGTCGTAAGATGCTTACAATAATTAGTAATAATGTAAATTGCCTCATATCAAATCACTATAGGGAAACATTCTTACAACACATGGCAATAGTTCATAAACATTTCAAAGGGTTTTCTTTGAAACTCACCATCATTGCCATCATTGCAGTCAGCTTCTCCCAGTTAGGATTCCTTCAGTGTTCATCATTCACTAGGTTTCTACCAGGAGCCTCTAATAACTTAAGATCCAGACATTCAATGAATCAAGCCTTCATCCGGTTAAAAAGCACCAAGATCTAAACTGTGAATGGTATAAAAGTATACAGTATAAATATAAAAGTATGACAGCTTCTGTAGTTAAGTTCTTCTGGAGTTAAATATTTTGTTATTCTGGGATAACAATGCTTGTTTGCTCCTGATAACGAGTTAATTTCAGGGATTTTACAGAAGGTTCAATACTCAACAGGGTTCACAATACAAATTTGTTACATATTCTTTTAACAAAATGAGATTGAAGACAAAAATATACTTCCTCTGAACTTTTTTTAATCAAATTATAGAATCCTTAAATGTATTATTTTATTACTTTTTATTACTTTTATTCAATAGTGATAGCTGAAGATAGACAGGAAAGGGGGGAGAAAGAGGGTACAACGTCATGACAGATCAGTGTGTGTGTCTGTCATGACTCGCTCTTATAAATCTCATGAAGTGTTTATTATCACGTTAGCTTTTGTTTTCTCAAGATAACAAGATCATATCCCAATACAAATATGTGAAGATTCAAATGTTTCACTTTTACAAACAGAAGGAAATATGCATTGTTCTGCACAGTATATATATACCCCCGCATAAACATAATAAAAAGGATACGGGCCACCCTGACGGCTCATCTGGTAGAACTGGCGCTCCTGTAAGGATGAATCCTTGCTGCAGCGGTCATGGGTTCAACTCTGACCTGTGGCCCTTTGCTGGGCGTTGTACCCTCTCTCTCGCCCCCTTTCCTGTCTATCTTCAGCTATGATGGTGAAGACAACAACACCCATGATCCCATGCTTCTTCATGACGTCATCAAACTTTAAAATAGTCTGTTGTTGTCGTTATTGTTTCAATGTGAGAGACCCCTAATAGTAGAAATTATATATTGTACGTCTGTTTGTGAGCTTTGATTGATACTGAGGAATGCAGTTTGGTGTGTATGTGTGTCTACTAGATAACTTTTTTCATTATTGGATGCTGCCTGTTTTTACAGTTTGTTAATTTTTCACTAATTGCCTCAACCTTCCCCTTCTGTAAGACTGTTAAAACATATGTATGCCTGTTTTAAGTCCTGTCTGTCACCCACTCTCTCAGGGCTCAGAGGGTTTCGGAACTCAGGTCAACAAATGCTTGGAGAATGCTGAGTATCTGTACGATCAACTGCAGATGAGGACAGACTTTGAACTGGTCTTCAAAGACAAAGTAAGGCTGGTTTTATGGGGAAACAGATATTTATCGTTTTGATCAATCTGTGTGCCACGTTCAAATTATTGGAAGGGGTCTCCACGGTGCATGGTAATTTGGTGGGGACTAGACTAAGGGGTCGATGCCAGAGAGACACACCACTGCTTAAGGTTGTAGTTATTGGTATTAGGACCTGACGTGGATAGGTCATCTATCTAAACCACCAATAATTCTTAATGGGCATATTTGTACTCCACCTGTCACACAGCCAGAGCACAGCAATGTGTGTTTCTGGTACATCCCCCCCAGTCTGAGAGGCCTGCCACTTGGAACTGAAAGAGACAAAAGACTCCATCGGGTCAGTACAGAACATCACAGAGGTCCCTCTGGATTAATTCCTTAATGGTCAGACTAACTCTCTATTTGATGGTGGTCTTGTGTCTCTTTATGTCTGCAGGTGGCTCCTCAGATCAAAGGCAGGATGATGGAGAAGGGCTCTGTTCTGATTGGCTATCAACCTTTGGGAGACAAAGTCAATTTCTTCAGATGTGTGTTCTCCAACCCTGCCACACAGCAAGAGGACATCGACTTCCTGCTGGACGAGATTGTCTGGCTGGGCCATGACCTGTGACCTCTGATATGATTGTTTGGTTTCATTTACTTTTTAAGGAAATTAGTGTATCTGACTATGATACCATTGTTCGACTGTTATATGAGGCTACATTGTATCCAACCTGGGTACACAGTCTAATGTTGGTGTACAGCGTTTTGACAATTACTCCCAGCTAAGCTTTACAGCAGTGGTTCCACCATTTTTCCTTAAGGGAGCCCTTTCTATTAATAAACTGACTCAGTAACATATTTTATGCATAATTCAAATTATATACATTTTATAATAATAACAGTACAGAACAACAGTGAACACAAGAACGCCAGGAAGTGTGTGTAAAACGAGCCATTTGGGTGAATTTTGAGCAGATTATTTCCTGTGAATGTTGATCAGAGATGAGTTTTCCTGATAATTTAACGATTGTTATATGCAATTCTCTGTATTATGTCTCATATTATTCTCTATATGTCTTTTTTTTATCTCTGTCATACATACTTAGTAGGCTTCTTTTTAAACAAATTCATTGGTTTCTTCTCATTGTTCTAGTAGTTCTTTGGTTTGTTTTAACTTTTCTTAGGGGCCAATCATGCTAGAAACTCCAAAACCATTTTTCCATCTGTTTTGATGCTGTTTACTATGCAGGTAAATAGGTTAGCTAGCTAGTTAGCTAGCTGTTTGACTGTGAGAAAACTATGGACCAGGGGTGTAGTGGGGGGGTAAACTTAAGTAACCTTAGTTATGCACCTTCTGAATGAAGCTAGCATTTACTCATCTAGAGCTTGACGCCTGCTTCGATACATTTTTCCTGTTAATCATATTTGATCGCCTGTTTGCGCATGTTGGTTTGCAGCTGCACCTGTAACAATGCGTCTCTGTGTGATTGGCCCCTAAAAAAAGTGAAGGCTCTGTGGATATAGATTATGTCTTTAAAAGCAACAATTTCATTTAGTTCTCTTCACAGAAATTAATGAAATAAAAGGCCTACTGTGCATTTAAAAGAAAAAGTTCTCTTACACCCCTAATAATCAAGAAGGCCTTGCAACCACCTGTGAAGCTTTGGCAACCCCGACTGCGGGACCAGTGCTACAGCCAATCTGCAGGCCCATCTGTTGTTATTTAAGTTATTAGGGTCATCTCAGTCAAGTTAATATATCTATAACTGGATATTTATATATAATATATATAATATGGAGCTATCCAAGGTGGTGATATGTTTGTATTTTTTAAGATACAGACAGAATGCAGAAGATTATAGATTGGATCTTTAAAATAATTGTATTTTTATTTTTATATATGATACAATATGATATGATATACAGATCTGGATATAGGTCCTCTTTGTCTTGTATGTCTTACTGACCCTTTAGATTTTGTGTAGAGCATTTTATAATCACCTTGGTTTCTGGAAAAGGTCACTGCTTAACCTCCAGTCCTTTCCAAACAAACCTCAGCGGCTGGTGTTGTATAGCCTAATGCTGCTACAAGTACAAACAACAACAGATGTTATAGGCTCTATAGGTGTAATTATGTACCTGAAAATGATTGCATCATGAGTTCTCAGGAAAATCAGGCAGAGAGGGAACCTAGAAGCACAAACTTTTTATTCTGAGCATTATGTGAAAAGATTAAAAAATGTTTTTGCTCAATAAACTAATACTGCTTTATCTGAAAGTGTATGATGCCATCTGATGCCCCTAGTAAAATTTCATGGCAACAGAATGATAACCCGATTAAGGTCAGGTATAAAAACTCTTAATCAAAGATTTCTCTCTTTGCATTTGGACACTGGTTGACCTGCTGCATAAGCTGAAGCTGAACGCAACCTACACTTGGAAAGAGAACTGTTGAAGAACTGAATCTACTGGATAAACGGTACATAAAAAAATCACATCAGATGTTGGATATGAAAACTGATAGACCAGTTTGGCTGGTATATCACTACCCTCTCATGTCGAGTTATGTAAGTAACACTGAGGCCTCCTGTAGGACTGAATGTCAGTGTACCATTAGAACATTAGATGGAGCCAAACTGCAGTCAGACAATCAGTCAGTTCTTCTAAAATCTTCTTTCAGACATTGTCTGGACACAGTGTTTTCAGTGCTATAGTTTCTGCACCTGTTCAGTAAACCCACCTGTTCCCAAAACTCTCCTGCCTCTTTCTGTTCCACTATAAAAAGAGGGTTTTATTCGAATAGCAAACTCACAGGAGACTATTAGGATAATATGCTTAGCATGAAGTCAGTCTCACTGAAGAGAGAAATTACTTAGAAAAAGTAGTTCAAATTACTTTGTATAACAAACAACAACAACAATCTAACTGACATTGTAATATGCAATTATAAAAAGATACAATACAAAAAGTCCTGTGCTCTGCAACATATGCCACTCAATTGAGTTTATTGCAAAAAGTGTCCATTTGTTCACAGGTCATACAAATACCTTAAAATAACCCACTATTCATGAGAAAGTGCAAGAATGACAGCTTGGTTTTATATACATGTCCGTCAGTCAGGCACCTGCCTTCCAGAAACAATCCAGATGGGGGTGTATTGCACCAAGCAGGATTACTAGACTTCAAAAATAGCACGTATCAACTTCTCTGAGCATTGAAAACATTCGATTTTTAAATGCATAAATAGTTGCACATGAATTAATTAATTTATAATTATTTATTAAAAGGTTGAGTGAGTAACATTTAAATAGTAAATGGACCTGTACTTGGACCTGCCCAAAATCTCAAAATTGACTAGTGTGTGAAAAAACAATGTTTTTCCCTGTAGTATCTCACCTTAATGTTTATGAATGAGGTATAAATGGTTTCACTCTCTGGAAGGATAAAAACAAATTGGTCAGTAAACATTAGCATATTCCCGCTAGTGGCCATGCATATTGCATATTGAGTTCCCTCAGGATTTTGTCATAACATTCTGAGATTATACATCTGATTAGCCTCTAAAGAGATTTTCCATGTCATAATTGTATGTTAAATGGACCTGTACTTGTATAGCACCTTTCTAGTATTCCGACCACTCAAAGCGGTTTTACACTACATGCCAAATTCACCCTTTCATACACGAGTGATGGCAAAGCCCATCGAACAGAAATGAATGCATTCATTCACCATTCACCAGCACCGATGACCAGCATCGGAGCAATTTGGGTCAGTAATCCTGCTCCCAAGGATACTTGACGCGTGGCAGGAGGAGCCGGGGACCAAACTAACAACCCTCCGATTAGTGGATGACCCGATCTGCCTCTGAGCCACAGCCGCCCTTTAGGAGCGATTTAGGAGGATCTATTGTCAGAAATGGAATATAGTATTGATAGGTATGTTTTTATTAGTGTATAATCACCTGAAACAAACCAAACACTGGCTCTAGACTGTAGTAGTATAGTTTTTTGCGAGTTTTGTGGCCACAGTAGTTTCTCCCACACACTTCACAATCCATTCTCTTTCCCAGGTCATCAAATACTGACACGAGCTGTATTCAGTTGAAACAATGCTAGATGCCACTAAATCCTACACACTAGTCCTTTAAATACTCAACTTTCAAATCTAATTCAACACTAACAAAGTCTGTAATTCATCTGAAGAATTAACCAATTCATGTTTCTGTTAGGCATACGATTCTATTATGCTTTCAACTTTCAATTCAATTCGATTCAGTTTTATTTGTATAGCGCCAATTCATAACAAAAGTTATCTCATGACACTTTCAAATAGAGCAGGTCTAGACTGAACTCCTTATAAAATTACTTACAGAGACCCAACAGTTCCCACCAGGAGCGACAGTAGCAAGGAAAAACCTTCTTTTAAGAGGCAGAAACCTAGGACAGACCCCGGCTCTAGGTGGGTAGCCGTCTACCTCAACCAGTTGGGGTTACATTCATTGTAGAGGAAATTTTAAAAGAATCTATATTATAAGTCTTCAGTTCTCATTCTTTAACAACCTAAAAAAATGGTAATGCACCAGAAAGTTACATTTATTAATTATATTGCGAAGAAGATAATTCTTGATGATTCTTAAGAAGAAGATAAACTTAGACATTCTGAAAAACTTATTTTCACCTTGCCTTTAAGGGCCTATATCTTATAGAAGAATCTTATTTTTTCAGTAGGCTAGACATTTACAGTGCAGTCATGAGTCTCGTGATGTGTAATATGTTTGTGTCTGTGTATTATCTAAGTGTCAATATTGGCACTGTAAACATATTCAGAAGGAAAAAGCCTGTCCAATCAATTTGTCCTTTGGTAATGTGCATGAGCCAAGACAGAAACCAAACCAACATCACCATCACATCACCATGTTACAATAACACAGCAGTATGACATTGTCAGCTCATTAAATAATGTGTATAGTTAGTTATATTTGTCTTTGTCAATGAGAGAGAGTAATGTGCATCTCATTGTAGATATCTTTCTCGTAATGGTTTCTACAAGTAGTAAGTGGTAATTAAAATAAATGTGATCATAATGGGTGAGATATGGATAAATGGAGGTTTAAAATAGTATTTTGTTGTAGACCTGTCTGTATGATCTTTTCAGAAATTATATATGGTTTTGCCAGGTAGCAGTATTGTGGCTGTAGTCCAGCATGTGAGGTTGGTAAACTGCAAACAGCATGACATCTTTACCAACTCAGCCAGATTTATATTTCTGTGGAAGTGGGAGTAAGAGAAAACGTCATGGACTTTTTCACCATATGGTGGCCCAACGCCGCACAGAGCAAGCTGTTTGAATACCTACTGGCCAGATCACCTTGTCCATGACAAGATCTCAAAAACAAGGGCAAGATTAATCTAGAATGTGTTATGGATATGTATAATCTCCATCCATTTGTGTTCTGCTTCTTGGTCTGGGGCCTGGTCGTGGTGATAAGCAAAATAGTCTAGACGTCCCTGTACCAAGCAACAAGCTCCTTCATGGGGAATTATTCCTCTATCAGATGAGCTATATGATCTCACCAGCATTTCCTGGGTCTGCCTCAGGAGCTCCCACCACTTAGACGTGCCCGGAAAACCTCCCACGGAGGGGGTACACCGATCAGCAATAACATTGTGAGCACTGACTGGTGAAGTGAATAACACTGATTATCTGTTTATCATGGCACCTGTCAGTGGGTGGGATATATTATACTCCTGCCACATGTCGAAGTATCCTTGAGCAAGATACTTGCTCCTGATGCTGCGTCATCAGTGTGTGAATGTGATGAATGAGATCCCTCCTGATGTCTGAGTCCCTGACTCAATGTCTAAGGGGTGAGACACCCTACAAAGGAAACTAATTTCATTAGTGGTGATCTCATTCTTTCCAAAGCTCATGACCAAAGGTGAGAGATGGAATGTAGATCAAGGTTTCCTCTTCTCCCAACTGGCTTCAAGAAGAGTTTGACTATGTTACATGCTTTGTTGATCTGATTGGTTGAACTTTTCCCTGTGATAGACAGATGGTTCATCTAATCACCTACAGTTTATTTTTTTAAAGCGCTTGCCTTTTGGCCAAGCAGCTTCCAACGATACTGATAAGATACTAAGATAACTTTCATTACCACGTCCTGCTAGCCTGTGGGGAAGAGGGCTAAATAATGCTCAAAAGTTAGGGTAAATGTTGGTGATGGAAAAACTGCCATGGTCATTCTCACAGGGACTGATTGTATTCTGTTTTTGAACAAATCAGTATAGGACAAATAGTTAGGTGTCATTCTACCTTTCTTAAAGGGAGTTTGGTTCAGGGGGGGTTTTAGTTGAATTCAAACTGAGAATATGTGTGGCCTGGTCAAGAATGATGAGACCGAACACAAATAAAATTATTATTATTTTATTTTTTATTTTTTGGGGTGTTTATTCCCCGACTGAGCTTAATAAAGAACAGCGTTAATACTGTGTTTTTTTGAGAATTTAGGACAGTT